TCTAATAAATACTCTGAATACTTTTGCTGGCAACAAAAGCTTTACTTCGGAGGATAGCTTTACTAGGAGGTTATTTTGAGGTTATCTTGAGATGATTTTGGGGCTTTTAGTGTCCCCACGGCTCGGTCCTCGACTAGGCCTCCACCCCCAGGAAGCAGCCTGTGACAGCTGACTAACACCCAGGTACCTATTTTACTGCTAGGTAACAGGGGCATAGGGTGAAAGAAACTCTGCCCATTGTTTCTCGCCAGCGCCCGGGATCGAACCCGGGACCACAGGATCACAAATCCAGCGTGCTGTCCGCTCGGCCGACCGGCTCCTCGGAAAATAATTCTTTTGAGTAAATTGAAACTAGATCTCAAAAATGGATGATTGAAAGCAGTCCCATTAGCCACGTTCCTTGTGGGTATGGAGAGTGTTATTAGGGATAGCATTCAGATGAACACCTTTATTAATAACAACTTCAGTTCCCAGAATAGCAGGATTACAGAAAGGTCACATGACCATACTTCTGTAGAAGGCATTACTGCAGGCACTAGTCCTACAGCCCAGGTGAATGAAATGTTTATTTCTATGGAATGTTATTGTTGTTTTAGATTTATCTACTCAGAACGAAATGTCCATGTAGCATGGGTTATAGTGAGCCCGTAATTGAGCTCGGCTATTTATAATAACCTTGTTACTGTGATATTTGGGTCAAAGTTGTAAAAGGAGGTAGGGTTTCCTCCTTTTCTCCCGTTTCTTTTCCGTTTTTGAATTAAAACACTGCTTTAGTCTTGTTCTAATAACATTATCTTGGTGATGGATATAAATGCACAGTGTTCACTAGTGTGTCCCATTCTTCAACTGCTTTTCTTACCATTCTAGTCACTGTAGATTTTGCATCTAATGCAGCTGCCCATATTGGATGAATGTTGAGTTTGATGCGCAGGACTTCAGTTGCTTCACATTCCAGTAAGTAGTGCAATAGTGGCGCCTCTGCATCTGTTCCACAGATATGACACTCTTTAACTATTGGGTTTATTACCTCCCAGCAACACTTGTAACCAAGTCTGAGTCTGTGTATGGCTACTGCAATGTCTCTGGGTATCTTTTTGCCAGGCTTGAAAGAGTAGTACCCAGTGGCTTGTTCGCACCACGTCGCAGTGGATCTTCCTTCCGCTACTTTGGCTCGGTGGCAACTCTTGATAGTTGGGAGTATTTTCTTTTTGATTTCTTCTTTAATCTGTGAAAAACATGGAGGTATTTTAACCTGCACAAAAGATAGCGCAGTGGTATTTTTTGCTAGTGAGTCTGTCGTTTCATTACCATCTTTGCCAATGTGACTTGGTATCCAATTTAGGGTGATTGACAGCCCTAGATGCTGTGCTTCTTTTCCTATGTGTTGGACTTCTGTGATGAGTTGTATAATATCTAAGTGCTGGCTGGATAACAACGCCAGGAGTGAAGATTTAGAGTAGGTATGAATGATGATATCTTTTAAATTATTCTCAGTTGTATTATTTATGGCCTCTTACAGGGCATATAATTCTGTTTTTAATGTTGAGCACCCACTGTTCATGCTCCAGTATGCTTCATGGTTGTTAGTGTTGTTAGTGTAACTGCTGCCCCAACAGAATCTCTTTCTTGATCAACTGATCCATCTGTGAAGACGGAAGTGATGTTGGTCTTGAGATGTTTTCCATTTGTTGTTCTATGATTACATGGCGCCTCTGCGAGTCACATGCTGATTTTCTGGCCGGTAATCTTTCAATGATTATCTTTAGACTCGATTCTTCCCATGGAGGAGGCTGCCGAAAGTGTTAATATGGGCTATCTTCTCATAGGTCCATGTCAAGTCCCTTTCTCTAGAATCTTCACTAGATTATCCGACCATGTACTTGTTCTATATTAAAAGTTTCTGTGGAGCGATTTATGTATGCTATTTTTGATTGACAGTCTAGTCATGGTTCCACCAATGTTTGCTGTTATGGTGGCTATTCTTTGTTTGATCCTGTTTTCTAAGGCTGGTAAGTTGGTTTCCATTCTTAGACTCTCTTGTTGCGTCCATATAGGTGCTCCCAACATTGTTCTAAGGGCATCATTTTGAGACACTTCCAGTTTCTCCCATTGGGTTATCACTGAGGGATGAAGAGCAGGATCAGCAGGATGAGTGACCTAACTGCTTGAACGTAGTACTCTATTTAGTTCTGGAAGAGATGCACCAGTCTCTAAGACCTGTCAGGGAGTGCAAAGCTGAGTTTCTGGCTTTACAACAGTGATGAAGATCTTCTATTTCTTGAGTGAATTTCAACTGGCTGTCTATTATGACTCCAAGATATTGAAATGAGGTAACCCACTTAATTTTGTGTCCTTATATTGCGAGACTGATGTCTTGAGTTCTCATTTTAACAGCCAATGCTTTGGTTTTGTTGCTGTTTATTTTCACTGCTATGCCTTCTGCTTCCCTGCTGATGATGTCTAGTCATTTTTATGCATGGTTCCTGGCGCCTTTTCCATTGATGATGACCACAAAGTCATTTGCATAGTTAAACAGTTTGGCTTTTGGTAACTTGAGCTTCATAAATTGCTTCATAGCAGTTGAAGCGGAAGGGGCTTAGCTTCTTGGTTAAGCAGACAATCTTTGGCAAAGGCAAGAGCGTGTCCTTTGATTTCCTTAACTACCAGGCAGCACAGTGTAGCTGGAGCATTGGCTAGCTTGGAGGCTTTTTCTACGTCCAGAAAAATAAGGATTTCTGGTTTGCCATTGATTTCATCCGAGAGGGAGGTAAGACAGTCTGTGGTTCCAACACCTTTTCTGTAAGCAAACATATTTTGGTGCAGTAGTTTGGCTTTACATTAAATTCGATTAAGAGCCATTCATTCTGCAGTTTTGGCAGGACAACTTGTTAATGAGATGGGTCTTGGATTTCCTGGGTCTTTGGGTTTTGGAATGGGAACTATAATCGCACTGTTCCAAGAGAGTGGTCGAGTTCTTGTCACCCATACTCTGTTGATGAGATTCAAGAAGGCTTTTTCACCCGTTTCCCTGATCTAGCTTGGCACACCACTCGAGCCATTTTTCTTATTTTTCTTCTCTGATTATTGCTGTTTCTTCATGCAAATAATCTAGGACAGCTCTAAGAAGTTCCAGAATTGCTTGGGTTCTGTCTCTTTTGAAATTCTTTTCGTGCACAAAAGAATAGCCTGTTATATAGTTCTTTGATCCTATGACAGTAATACCAATGGTCTTTATGTTGTTGGGTAATTGTTTTCTTCTTGAGGATGGAGTGATTTGCTGCTCTGTGTATTGCATTTACTAAATCTTTTTCCGTATCTTCAGTGTTGTCAAGAGGAGTGTATATAGTTTTGGTGCCAAAAATCAAGAGATTCCTGAAATATCATTCAATATGCTGTGATAAATTCCCATCCGGGCTCAGGAGCTTGTGTAAGAAGAAAATTGTGTAAGGAATCTTTCAGAACTTTATATACCACATATGTCAAACCAATCCTGGAGTATGCGGCTTCAGCATGGACTCTATATCTAGTCAAGCATAAGACTAAACTGGAAAAGATTCATAGGTTTGCCAGACCAGACTAGTACCCGAGCTGAGAGGTATGAGCTACGAGGAGAGACTACGGGAATTAAACCTCACTTCGTTAAAAAACAGAATAGTTAGGGGGGACATAATCACAACATTCAAGATTCTCAAGGGAATTGATAGGGTAGATAAAGACAAGCTATCTAACACAAGGGGCACACGCACTAGGGGACACAGGTTAAAACTGAGTGCCCAAATGGGCCACAGAGATATTAGAAGGAAGTATTTTAGTGTCAGAGTGGTTGACAAATGGAATGCATTAGGAAGTGATGTGGTGGAGGCTGACTCCATACACAGTTTGAAGTGTAGATATGATAGAGCCCAATAGGCTCAGGAACCTGTACACCTGTTGATTGACGGTTGAGAGGCGGGACCAAAGAGCCAGAGCTCAACCCCCGAAAGCACAATTAGGTGAGTACAATTAGGTGAGTACAATTAGGTGAGTTATGTATTGTATGTGACTTAATGTATTGAATTTTACGAGGTAGGAGTAGAGCTGTTTGTAAATATTTTTGATAATACTGTATAGGTAGACTAGATATTGGTCTGTAATTGTTTGTCTTCCGTATCGCGTACTTTATAAACTGGCGTTACTCGTGTTTTTGAGGATATTAGGAAAAGTATGACACTCTAGAAATTTGCCAAATAGCAGAGCTATGGATAGTGCAAGGGCATGAGAGAAAAGTGAAAGTAGTAGATACAATTGTTGGGCTAGTGGAAGGACTTACAACTAAAGAGAACTGTGCTAAATAGGATGGAAGAAGTACTAAGGAATTTTAGGAAATTACAAAGTGATGAGGAAGAGATATTATGGTTATCAAGATGAGATCTTTTAAAAGAAGACAGGAAGAAACTGGATATCGTAGAGGAAAAAGTCTAAATGAGAGCAGGAACGAAGAAGAAATCAATTTTTTCTAAACGGTGATAGAGGTAGGCAAGCATTAGGAGCTCGTATGAGCTATTTATATCCACCCAAACGTTTCTGCCCTTTCCATGAATAGTATATTTTCTTTATCGAGGGAATGAGTCTTGCATTACAGCGTTCATGATCCTTGTTCTTCCATTATTCCCGAGGACTCTTCTCTCCCTCCGTATTCCTAACATTCGGAACAATATGTGGTCCGGCCTGTCAAGAATCCTTCACAGAGATATATTAACATTTATTTCAGTTGTCTTTCTTCACTCTTTTTAATTTTGTTTGTTCAGTAGGGGACCACTAAAGTTTTGTTCAGTAGGGACCAATAAAGTTTTGTTCAGTAGGGGACCACTAAAGTTTTGTTCAGTAGGGGACCACTAAAGTTTTGTTCAGTAGGGGACCACTAAAGTTTCGTTCAGTAGGGGACCACTAAAGTTTTGTTCAGTAGGGGACCACTAAAGTTTTGTTCAGTAGGGGACCACTAAAGTTTTGTTCAGTAGGGGACCACTAAAGTTTTGTTCAGTAGGGGACCACTAAAGTTTTGTTCAGTAGGGGACCACTAAAGTTTTGTTCAGTAGGGGACCACTAAAGTTTTGTTCAGTAGGGGACCACTAAAGTTTTGTTCAGTAGGGGACCACTAAAGTTTTGTTCAGTAGGGGACCACTAAAGTTTTGTTCAGTAGGGGACCACTAAAGTTTTGTTCAGTAGGGGACCACTAAAGTTTTGTTCAGTAGGGGACCACTAAAGTTTTCTTCAGTAGGGGACCACTAAAGTTTTGTTCAGTAGGGGACCACTAAAGTTTTGTTCAGTAGGGGACCACTAAAGTTTTGTTCAGTAGGGGACCACTAAAGTTTTGTTCAGTAGGGGACCACTAAAGTTTTGTTCAGTAGGGGACCACTAAAGTTTTGTTCAGTAGGGGACCACTAAAGTTTTGTTCAGTAGGGGACCACTAAAGTTTTGTTCAGTAGGGGACCACTAAAGTTTTGTTCAGTAGGGGACCACTAAAGTTTTGTTCAGTAGGGGACCACTAAAGTTTTGTTCAGTAGGGGACCAATAAAGTTTCATTTGTCCAAGGTTTGTGACATGTGTTGGCATTAAATAATAATAATGAAGTAAGATCATAAATTTTGTGAGGGTCTAACCTATTCCATAATTTATTATTTTCAAACCAGTTTGAAAGTTTAATTGGAATGATGTAATGTGTACATATTCAACAGGTATACGACGGCAGCAGAGCTGAACAGTTTACCAGTGTGGGGCAAGGTAAACTGGTATGGTGGCGGAGGCTACGTCATCCACCTGCGGGCCAGCACAGACGCCATCATGGCCAAGCTGAAGCAACTACACACTTACCAATGGATTGACCACAGGACACGCGCTCTTCTGATTGAGTTTTCTGTATATAACGCACAGGTTCGGGACCAATATTATCTCTTTTTGATGACCGTCTCATTAATTAATGGTGCATAACACCTGCACTTGACCTCATTCTCCGAATGTGTGGTTTTTCCAATTTTAATTGTTTTCAGTAATCAGTTAAGTTTTCCCTAGAATGAACGATTTTTGCCTGGATAATCTTTTTTACAGAAAAGGGCCGAAAAGTTCAAATCCCTATGTACCCTAACCTAATATTTGATCATCAAACAGAAGCTCAGTGCAAGCTTTAAAGCCCATTGTGAATGTACTAGGATGTTCCGCGGAAACGATAGGAAGGCAGCTCAGGAGATTACGGGGACAAGAACCATCAATGGATATACTGTATAACCCGCGAGGAGACTGTAAAGGTTTGGATAACAATGCCATGGGGTAGCCTTTGTCCTTTGACACATGAATTAGGTTACATAACGAATAATGACTATGAAATGAGTGGCATTATAAATAAGTACGTTGTCTCCATATTTATTAGAGAAGAACTTTACATTTTACCAACATCTGAGCAAATGTACATGAAGAAAGTGAAGAACAGGTAGAATAGTTTACATATTACCTGTGGCCTCCTTACCAAGAGGTTAGAAGTTAGTAAGGAGTTGCAGTAAGTTGGAGTTGGAGTAAGGAGTAAGGTAAGGAGTTGACCTCCTTAACAGGAGGTAAACCTGGGAGAAAGTTGCCAAACAGATAGAAGAGTTAACGCCAAACAACTGCCAGGAGCATAGTCTTTCCCAGGGCCTTAAACGAGTGTAAAGACAAGCTAAGCACGCTTTTGACTCATATATTTAATAAATCATTACAGTCGAACAAATTTCTGAAATTGAGAAGAGATACAAATGTTGTACCAATGTATAAGAACGGTAACAAGTCACGTGTCTCAAACTATCGGTCAGTTTGTTTAACATTTGAGCTTTGAGCTTTGATGTCCAAAGAGGTTGGAGAAGATGTGGGAGGAAGAAGGATGGCGCGGTGAAATTCTTGGAAGAAGATCTAGATGTGGAGAGAGGGAGCTTGAAAGTTTGGTGGCCTGTCCACCTTGGATTGGAGATGTTTTTTTCGGTCAAAGCCATCAGCTTGAGTTCTTCTTAAGCGGCGGGAGGCTAGTGGTGAGGCGGTGTGATGTCGTCCTGGTTCACTTGAGGTGTTCTGTCTGGCTTGGAGGAGGCGTCTTCCTTATTGAGGTGGTGAGAGGTAAGTTTACTGTTGCTGGAAGGTTGGTGGCACAGTCTGGAAGGTTGTGGGCACAGTCTAGAGGGTTGGTGGCATAGTCTGGAAGGTTGTGGGCACAGTCTAGAGGGTTGGTGGCACAGTCTGGAAGGTTGTGGGCACAGTCTAGAGGGTTGGTGGCACAGTCTGAAAGGTTGAGGGCACAGTCTGGAAGGAACCACAGCAGTGTGTGAAACATCTGTGGTTCCTTGTCTGTGCTGCCATCATGCAGACTCCAGCTCAACAGAGTTAATGGTGTCCTTGCTTGACTGCTAGGAATGTGTATGATCTCACAACTGTAATTATATGTTTTGTGTATAATATGTAATTATTATTATGTATGTCAAATAGTTGTGTATTTTTGAATTAGGAAATATAGTATATTGAATAAGGGGCAACTGAGGAAGGGTCAAGCAAACGAAATCTGTATATTACAATCTGGGATTTAGGCAGCTGTCTGTCTCGACATGCAGCTGTCTGTCTCGACATGCAGCTGTCTGTCTCGACATGCAGCTGTCTGTCTCGACATGCAGCTGTCTGTCTCGACATGCAGCTGTCTGTCTCGACATGCAGCTGTCTGTCTCGACATGCAGCTGTCTGTCTCGACATGCAGCTGTCTGTCTCGACATGCAGCTGTCTGTCTCGACATGCAGCTGTCTGTCTCGACATGCAGCTGTCTGTCTCGACATGCAGCTGTCTGTCTCGACATGCAGCTGTCTGTCTCGACATGCAGCTGTCTGTCTCGACATGCAGCTGTCTGTCTCGACATGCAGCTGTCTGTCTCGACATGCCGCTGTCTGTCTCGACATGCAGCTGTCTGTCTCGACATGCAGCTGTCTGTCTCGACATGTTGCTGTCTGTCTCGACATGCCGCTATCTGTCTCGACATGCAGCTGTCTGTCTCGGCATGTTGCTGTCTGTCTCTACATGCCGCTGTCTGTCTCGACATGCAGCTGTCTGTCTCGGCATGTTGCTGTCTGTCTCTACATGCCGCTGTCTGTCTCGACATGCAGCTGTCTGTCTCGGCATGTTGCTGTCTGTCTCGACATGTTGCTGTCTGTCTCAGCATGCCGCTGTCTGTCTCGACATGTTGCTGTCTGTCTCGACATGTTGCTGTCTGTCTCAGCATGCCGCTGTCTGTCTCGACATGTTGCTGTCTGTCTCCACATGCAGCTGTCTGTCTCGGCATGTTGCTGTCTGTCTCGACATGTTGCTGTCTGTCTCAGCATGCCGCTGTCTGTCTCGACATGTTGCTGTCTGTCTCGACATGTTGCTGTCTGTCTCGACATGTTGCTGTCTGTCTCAGCATGCCGCTGTCTGTCTCGACATGTTGCTGTCTGTCTCGACATGTTGCTGTCTGTCTCAGCATGCCGCTGTCTGTCTCGGCATGTTGCTGTCTGTCTCCACATGCAGCTGTCTGTCTCGGCATGTTGCTGTCTGTCTCGACATGCAGCTGTCTGTATCGACATGCAGCTGTCTGTCTCGACATGCAGCTGTCTGTCTCGACATGCAGCTGTCTGTCTCGACATGCAGCTGTCTGTCTCGACATGCAGCTGTCTGTCTCGACATGCAGCTGTCTGTATCGACATGCAGCTGTCTGTCTCGACATGCAGCTGTCTGTCTCGACATGCAGCTGTCTGTCTCGACATGCAGCTGTCTGTCTCGACATGCAGCTGTCTGTCTCGACATGCAGCTGTCTGTCTCGACATGCAGCTGTCTGTCTCGACATGCAGCTGTCTGTCTCGACATGCAGCTGTCTGTATGTTATTTAAGTAATTTCTTTACATCACTTTCAATAGGATTTTTTATTAATTATCTACTAAATATTTGTTCCTCATGAACCCAGCTTTAAATGGAAATAATTAATGGCTGCTTTTGTGAATGATTTTTATACTGTACAATAATTACATCTTGTTTTAGTTACTGAAGTCATACACTTTATTTAACCACTTACTGTAGTCATGTCCCTTGCTTAACCACTTACTGTAGTCATGCCCCTTGGTTAACCACTTACTGTAGTCATGCCCCTTGCTTAACCACTTACTGTAGTCATGCCCCTTGCTTAACCACTTACTGTAGTCATGCCCCTTGCTTAACCACTTACTGTAGTCATGCCCCTTGGTTAACCACTTACTGTAGTCATGCCCCTTGCTTAACCACTTACTGTAGTCATGCCCCTTGCTTAACCACTTACTGTAGTCATGCCCCTTGCTTAACCACTTACTGTAGTCATGCCCCTTGCTTAACCACTTACTGTAGTCATGCCCCTTGCTTAACCACTTACTGTAGTCATGCCCCTTGCTTAACCACTTACTGTAGTCATGCCCCTTGGTTAACCACTTACTGTAGTCATGCCCCTTGCTTAACCACTTACTGTAGTCATGCCCCTTGGTTAACCACTTACTGTAGTCATGCCCCTTGGTTAACCACTTACTGTAGTCATGCCCCTTGCTTAACCACTTACTGTAGTCATGCCCCTTGTTTAACCACTTACTGTAGTCATGCCCCTTGCTTAACCACTTACTGTAGTCATGCCCCTTGCTTAACCACTTACTGTAGTCATGCCCCTTGGTTAACCACTTACTGTAGTCATGCCCCTTGCTTAACCACTTACTGTAGTCATGTCCCTTGGTTAACCACTTACTGTAGTCATGCCCCTTGGTTAACCACTTACTGTAGTCATGTCCCTTGCTTTACCACTTACTGTAGTCATGCCCCTTGGTTAACCACTTACTGTAGTCATGCCCCTTGGTTAACCACTTACTGTAGTCATGCCCCTTGGTTAACCACTTACTGAAGTCATGTCCCTTGGTTAACCACTTACTGTAGTCATGCCCCTTGGTTAACCACTTACTGTAGTCATGCCCCTTGGTTAACCACTTACTGTAGTCATGTCCCTTGCTTTACCACTTACTGTAGTCATGCCCCTTGGTTAACCACTTACTGTAGTCATGTCCCTTGCTTAACCACTTACTGTAGTCATGCCCCTTTATTTAAACACTTAGTGAAGTCATACACTTTAGTTAACCACTTACATGCATGTCTTGCTCCTAAGTTAAACACTTCCTTTTGTCATACACTTTCAAGAGACATTTATAATTGCAAAATTTTCCCAAATTTCCATGAAGCATTTTTGTTCCATGATTACTCAGCACAGAAGTGGGTCCTGGGACGTCTTGCTAAAATATGCAGTCAATGTCATTTTTATGTAAAAGAAAGAATTGTTAGAAAATTTTATTTCAGAAAGTAATTTAAAATGACTTCTTGACCTTTTTGACCAGCAAATCAAGCAGCGATATCAGACACTAATTATCCTTCGGGATACAAAAGATCCATTAAACCGTATCAAAGTTGAATCACATGTAAATCTTGCGACCTACCGTCAGTATCATTCATAAAGGCCAGTTGATTTGCTACAGAATATTATAAAGCTTGAAACTAAAGCTTGACATGTATAAATGATTTAATAAAGCGGATGATCTGTTTTCTGAAATCACTTGAGGTGAGGACTATTTTGATGAGTGTAATTGTTGTTATGTTCTACAACACAGGTTAATCTGTTTGGGATGATTGTTATCATGGCGGAGTTCATCCCGGGGGGAGGCGTCGTCCCTTCTGGCAGGTGAGTTTAACAGCCACATTACAACCCTTCAGCTCTCATACCAATCTGTATTACAGTAATATGACGTGTTACTAAATCTGTATTACAGTAATATGACGTGTTACTAAATCTGTATTACAGTAATATAAAGTGACAATCCATCTCTCTAATTCTAAATATATTTTCATAACAAATCGCTAATACTGTATGTGATTTACAGTCCTGAAAGTTTTCCCCTCATTTCTTTATCTGTTCTTCATTTCTTTCTCTGTTCTCCAGGTTTGACGGAATAAGTCTCATCGAACCCGGAAACACTTTTGGATCGTTCATCATCGCGTGTCAGGTGGTGTTCTGCCTGTTCATCTTGTACTTCACGGGGCGTGAGATCTATCGCATATGTAAGCAGAAATGTGACTACCTCACAAACTATTGGTCGTATGCTGAGATCTCCATAATACTGGCCAGCTACGCCACTATCATCATCTACATTCTCAGGTGACGACACTGGTTTTCCTTCTTATAATACTCCTTAACATTTATCTGTAGCCCGCATGTCATTTTTTCCTCCAATTACATTGGTCAAGGTGTGGAAAGCTGGAGCAGTCTCCGTACCCACATGGTCCAGCCTGGTGGGTAGTGTGTGCTCTACTCTATACATGGTCCAGCCTGGTGGGTAGTGTGTGCTCTACTCTATACATGGTCCAGCCTGGTGGGTAGTGTGTGCTTTACTCTATACATGGTCCAGCCTGATGGGTAGTGTGTGCTTTACTCTATACATGGTCCAGCCTGGTGGGTAGTGTGTGCTTTACTCTATACATGGTCCAGCCTGATGGGTAGTGTGTGCTCTACTCTATACATGGTCCAGCCTGGTGGGTAGTGTGTGCTTTACTCTATACATGGTCCAGCCTGATGGGTAGTGTGTGCTTTACTCTATACATGGTCCAGCCTGATGGGTAGTGTTTGCTCTACTCTATACATGGTCCAGCCTGGTGGGTTGTGTGTGCTTTACTCTATACATGGTCCAGCCTGGTAGGTAGTGTGTACTTTACTCTTAACGTGGTTCTGCCTGGTGAGTACTGTGTACTTTACTCTTCACATGGTCCAGCATGATGAGTATTGTGTACTCTCCACATGGTCCAGGCTGGTGAGTACTGTGTACTTTACTCTCCACATGGTCCAACCGAGTGAGTACTGTGTACTTTACTCTCCACATGGGCCAGCCTGGTGAGTACTGTGTACTTTACTCTCCACATGGGCCAGCCTGGTGAGTACTGTGTACTCTCCACATGGGCCAGCCTGGTGAGTACTGTGTACTCCCCACATGGGCCAGCCTGGTGAGTACTGTGTACTTTACTCAATACATGGTCTAACCTGGTGAGTACTATGTACTCCCCACGTGGGCCAGCCTGGTGAGTACTTTGTACTCTCCACGTGGTCCAGCCTGGTGAGTACTGTGTACTTCCCACGTGGGCCAGCCTGGTGAGTACTGTGTACTCCCCACGTGGGCCAGCCTGGTGAGTACTGTGTACTCCCCACGTGGGCCAGCCTGGTGAGTACTGTGTACTCCCCACGTGGGCCAGCCTGGTGAGTACTGTGTACTCTCCACGTGGGCCAGCCTGGTGAGTACTGTGTACTCTCCACGTGGGCCAGCCTGGTGAGTACTGTGTACTCTCCACATGGGCCAGCCTGGTGAGTACTGTGTACTCTCCACATGGGCCCGCCTGGTGAGTACTATGTACTCCCCACGTGGTCCAGCCTGGTGAGTACTGTGTACTCCCCACGTGGGCCAGCCTGGTGAGTACTGTGTACTCTCCACGTGGGCCAGCCTGGTGAGTACTGTGTACTCTCCACGTGGGCCAGCCTGGTGAGTACTGTGTACTCCCCACGTGGTCCAGCCTGGTGAGTACTGTGTACTCCCCACGTGGGCCAGCCTGGTGAGTACTGTGTACTCCCCACATGGTCCAACCGAGTGAGTACTCTGTACTTTGCTCTCCACATGGGCCAGCCTGGTGAGTACTGTGTACTTTACTCTCCACATGGGCCAGCCTGGTGAGTACTATGTACTCCCCACGTGGTCCAGCCTGGTGAGTACTGTGTACTCTCCACGTGGGCCTGCCTGGTGAGTACTGTGTACTCTCCACATGGGCCAGCCTGGTGAGTACTGTGTACTCTCCACATGGTCCAGCCTGGTGAGTACTGTGTACTCTCCACATGGGCCAGCCTGGTGAGTACTGTGTACTCTCCACATGGGCCAGCCTGGTGAGTACTGTGTACTCTCCACATGGGCCAGCCTGGTGAGTACTGTGAACTCCCCACATGGGCCAGCCTAGTGAGTACTGTGTACTCTCCACGTGGGCCTGCCTGGTGAGTACTGTGTACTCTCCACATGGGCCAGCCTGGTGAGTACTGTGAACTCCCCACATGGGCCAGCCTGGTGAGTACTGTGTACTCCCCACATGGTCCAGCCTCGTGCCTGCGTGATGCCTTGCTTGCCTCATCAATACCAGCTCCATATTTCTCTTTTCAACAGATACTTCAACATAAACGCTGCCCTGGATGAGTTCAATAGAACGTACGGCAACGGGTACGTGAGGATGCAGTATGCAGCACGCATCAACGAGGTGTACGGCTACTTGGTCGCTTTCATTGTCTTTGTCGGAACAATCAAGTTTATCAGGCTTCTGAGGTTCAACAAGACTATAGGTGAGGTTGTGTGTTCATTCCGATAGCATCTTAGACATAATGGTAGAGCCAGGGCATTATTGGATTTTAATTCATTAAATTTAATTCAAGAATTTAAATCCAGGAATTAATGGATTCTAATTCTTATCATTAGGAACTAAATAATAGAATTGGCTTGGAAATAATTCCAAGCCAATTCTTGCCTTGCAATTAATTTTTTTTATCATTATCTAGCTTTACCCGGCCCGGTAAAGAGGTTTTGAAGATTTCCCACACATGAAAAACACAGTTTAAAAAAGAAACATGTTTATTCCCTGTCACAGACGTGACATCTATATAGTATGTATATAAAACCCGCGCGGATGCGAATGGAACATTGTGTGAAAATTAAAGGCAATTTTGCAGTAAAAAAGCAGTGAAGAATTTTCGGAGATCAGCGATTTTGAACAAACGAACATTTACATTTTTATTCTAATGTTGAAATAGGCTTCATCCGTAGGGTTACGGCAGCCATCTTGGAGGTGTCAGTTCTCTTGATTGAGAGGTTCATGTATTTTATTTGTATAAATATCCTTTATTTATTTATCCAGGCAATTATATATATATAGCCGTTATGTAAACATTTTATCACTGCAATATATATTTTTTTGTTATGCATATGCCTTATCATTATGTATGTGCCATATGTGTCGTTTATTTATTACTGGATGGGTTATCCCTTTCCGCCTGGGTCTCACTCCCACCTTCCCTATCTCTTTCCCTCTGCTCCTCCTCTGCTCTTCTTCCCACTCCACACTCTCTCATTACTCTTTTCCTGCTCACTCTCTCCCCCCTCCCATTCCATTTCTACCCGCCTTCCCCCTTCTATCTCCGCTTTCTCACCTCTGCCCCATTCTATTTCCCCCATCTCCCCTATCTCTATATTCACCTCCTCTTCTCCTCCCCATCCACCTTCACCCCAACAGGTTGTGACGTTACATAACCAGAGTAGGGGGGGGGTAGTAATGTTTCAGCATGAACATCAATAAACAGTCCCCGGGGTGTTGTGGTTAAGACACTCGCCTAGCGTTTCTCGAGCGCTTTGTCCTAGGTTCGTATCCTGGCCGGGGAGGATTTACTGGGGGCAAATCCTTAACTGTTGCCTCTGTTTAATTCAACAGTAAACTGAGTACCTGGTTGTTAAACGATTTTTCGGGGGGTCGTATTCCAGGGAACATAGGATTAAGGACTTGCCCGAAATGCTACGTACTCACCTAGTTGTGCTTGCGGGGGTTGAGCTTTGTCTCTTTGGTCCCGCCTCTAAACCGTCAATTAATAGGTGTACAGATTCCTGAGCCTATTGGGCTCTATCATACCTAAATTTGAAACCGTGTATGGAGTCAGCCTCCACCACATCACTTCCTAGTGCATTCCATTTGTTAACTACTCTGACGCTGAAAAAATTCTTTCTAACGTCTTTGTGGCTCATCTGGGTACTAAGTTTCCACATGTGTCCCCTTGTTCGTGTCCCACCCGTGCTTAAGAGTTTGTCTTTGTCCACCCTGTTAATTCCCCCTGAGAATTTTGTAGGTGGTGTTCATGTCTTCCCTTACTCTTCTGTTTTCCAGGGACGTGAGGTTCAGCTCCTTTAGCCTTTCTTCGCAGCTCATTCCTCTCAGTTCCGGGACGAGCCTGGTGGCATACCGCTGAATCTTCTCTAACTTTGTCTTGTGTTTAACTAGGTATGGACTCCAGGCTGGAGCTGCATATTCAAGGATTGGTCTGACATAAGTGGTGTACAGGGTCCTGAACGATTCCTTACACAAGTTTCTAAAAGCAGTTCTTATGTTGGCCAGTCTAGCATATGCCGCTGATGATATCCTTTTGATGTGGGACTCTGGGGACAGGTTCGGTGTGATATCAACCCCCATATCTTTCTCTCTATTTGACTCTTGCAGGATTTCACCTCCCAGATGGTACCTTGTGTTCAGCCTCCTGCTCCTTTCGCCTAATTTCATTATTTTACCCTTTCCTGAGTTGAACTTTAGCAGCCATTTTCTAGACCATTCCTCCAGTTTTTCCAGGTCATCCTGTAGTCTCTGTCTATTTCCCTCTGTCTTGATTCTTCTCATAATTTTTGCATCATTAGCAAACATTGAGAGGAATGAGTCTATTCCCTCTAGAAGATCGTTTACATATATTAGAAACAGGATGGGTCCAAGTACTGAGTCCTGTGGGACTCCGCTGGTGACATCTTGCCACTCTGATGTCTCCCCCTCACCGTTACTCGCTGTTTCTCGTTGCTTAAGTACTCCCTTAAGCACTGGAGCACCTTACCTTTTACTCACGTGTACTAGTGGCTGTACAAGAATGTAAGAACCCTTACATTCTGTAATGTAATGTAATGTAATATATATATATATATATATATATATATATATATATATATATATATATATATATATATATATATATATATATATATAAATAAATAAACACAAGTCAGAGAACTATCACTTTGCCTTCCGAAAAACTAAATTCCAACTGGACTGGCAAAAGACAAAGTCGAAAAACTCTTCTCAAAAGTTAGAGTCCACAATGACTGAAAAATCAGGTAAAGTCAGGAATCTCCTCTCCAGAGATAAAGTCTACACAGGCATCAAAATATGAGAGTCCCCAAACAGTGATAAAAATTCTGTCACTTTACCACACGAGTTACAATTTGCAAATTTAGTAATAACACTTATTTAACTCTGATCATTACAATAATCTCTTTCTTATCTCACTGCTAAGAAGACAAGATATGTATTCAAATATCCCTACTGTAACATTACTCAAGAGAGCACACACACCACGTGTGAGCCCCTACAGAACCCGAGCCCAGTGAGGCAGTTCCTGGCTGGCAACCATAGCTCAACTAACAGTACAAACATTGTACGTTCATATAACCTCTCTCGGAGTAGCAAAAACAAACATAAAATACACTTAAGTAAATTATACAACATTGGGACATGCCCAGATGTTCAACTACATAAAATTAACTTAATACATTATATATATATATAAATATATATATATATATATATATATATATATATATATATATATATATATATATATATATATATATATATATATATATATATATATATATATATATAGATATGTCGTACCTAGTAGCCAGAACGCACTTCTCAGCCTACTATGCAAGGCCCGATTTGCCTAATAAGCCAAGTTTTCCTGAATTAATATATTTTCTCTAATTTTTTTCTTATGAAATGATAAAGCTACCCATTTCATTATGTATGAGGTCAATTTTTTTTTATTGGAGTTAAAATTAACGTAGATATATGACCATACCTAACCAACCCTACCTAACCTAACCTAACCTATCTTTATAGGTTAGGTTTGGTTAGGTAGCCGAAAAAGTTAGGTTAGTTTAGGTTAGGTAGGTTAGGTAGTCGAAAAACAATTAATTCAGGAAAAGTTGGCTTATTAGGCAAATTGGGCCTTGCATATTAGGCTGAGAAGTGCGTTCTGGCTACTAGGTACGACATATATATATATATATATATATATATATATATATATATATATATATATATAGTCGTACCTAGTAGCCAGAACGCACTTCTCAGCCTACTATGCAAGGCTCGATTTGCCTAATAAGGCAAGTTTTCCTGAATTAATATATTTTCTCAAATTTTTTTCTTATGAAATGATAAAGCTACCCATTTCATCATGTATGAGGTCAATTTTATTTTATTGGAGTTAAAATTAACGTAGATATATGACTGAACCTAACCAACCCTACCTAACCTAACCTAACCTATCTCTATAGGTTAGGTTAGGTAGCCGAAAAAGTTAGGTTAGGTTAGGTTAGGTAGTCAAAAAATAATTAATTCATGAAAATTAGGCTTATTAGGCAAATCGGGCCTTGCATAGTAGGCAGAGAAGTGCGTTCTGGCTACTAGGTACGACATATCTATATATATATATATATATATATATATATATATATATATATATATATATATATATATATATATATATATATAATATGCACAACAGAAACAATAAGCTACCAGCCACCGCACAGGGGCTAGCTGGTTGACACACACTCACACTCAGGCATGGAAATGGGGGGGGGGGGAGGGAGCAGGATGTGGCAGTGGCAGCGCCGCAACTTTATTTTTATTGTTATATGCAGGACATGGGAACAAAAACAATAAAAAAATTACAGAAAAAATATAATGAAAACAAACAAAAGTACAAAACCACAAGCCAGAAAGACCTACAACAAGACACAGAAACATGGCCCACAAATTTATCACACAACATACTAAATACAACACAGAAAAACACCACCTACAATATACAATGTACAAAACATAATAACCCTACACCTGAGCAAGGCGCAGAACAAAGGAAACACATATCAGTATAAAAAATTAATTACAAGTAAGAAAAGTAGCATGACAGAGAAACAAAACAAAAATACCCAAACACGGGCTACAAAAGCTGACACGTAACACTGCATATATAATTGGGGTGCGGTTTCGCGTAGTGTTGGTGTTGCGGTTGGGTTGTTGGCTGCGCGCCCGTTGACAATTTATCAGCGGGCATTGCTGGTTACTTGTTAAGTTCTGTCGCGTGTTTGGTTCATGGCTCGGTGTTTTCCCCTGGATCGCCGGCTGGCTCTGGGGTTGGAACGTCAGGTTTATAGGTACGTGTGGTGTGGACGTTACCACCCGGTTCGTCGCTCGACGTTGGTGTTAGCTGTGCGGAAGGGTGGGGTTGGTATTCCGAATGTGTTTACCAGAGCCCGGGCGCTGTTCTGGGTCTCGTTGTGTCAGGGATTGGCGATGCGTGGGGGGCTCAATGCTTTGTGTGTTTATTATTGTTCGGTTAGGTTTAGTTTTTTTGGTGGATTTCGGTGGTTGTCAGGAGGTGGCCTTCTGTACCCCTCCTGTTTACTCCTGGGCGGTGGATATTTTCAGGGCTGTCTGCCGTTGTCCGGGTTTTATGTCTCTTTCGGTTAA